ACAAGCAGCCAGCAAATGGCAAGCGTGAGCATAATTATGGTTTTCAATCTATTCCCAGAATTTCGAGCAATCTCAACTCCAACGCAATAGCCACACACTGTGTGCTGCTATCTGGTTTAACTGGAAATATGCCTGCTGCTTGACAGGATTCATAATCGTCGATGCCATACATTTGAGCCAAGGTCTCTCTCAAGTTGATAGAGCTGCTGTTCCTGTGGCGCAGCGCAGGAGTTCTAGAGTCCAAGGCAGGTTGTTTCATGAATCAAGGGTCAACAGTTGAAAATTACCCGTTCGCCCTATCATACTCTTATTAAATTTGGAATACATACATTTCTTTTCACTTTCACTGATATAAATAACCTTTTGAGTTCCATAACTTATCGCAGGTTTGCTTACCTTTGCGTTTTATTTACCCAACAGTAGCCTGTCAATGACATCCTATCTCAGGGTTTCTGCGACTCATGCCAACGCATTTCCTTTGCAAACAAGACTCTAATTTCCTTTATTATTTATTTACTTTTAAGTAGTCGCCCGGCTACATACACACATTCATAATAGTCCATTCCCGGACTGACTCCCCTAAAAAGTGGCGCATCATGCCGTGGAAAATATCCTGAGAACAAACTCATTCATAAATCAAGGCTACAGCGATTGTTAATTTTCGATACATCCATGCCATGTTTTTATTTTTTTAAGGGAAACCTCTTAAGTGTTGCTAAGTTGGACGAAAAAAAAAACTGCTTCCTCATGGTTATTTCAGCATGGATGTATTGGAAATATGATAGCCCATGACTTCAAGCCACGGACAGCTGACGAATGCACAAGCGGAGGGGGACTTCTTCGGGCACTTCTTACGCTGCCTGCAGTTGCCTTTTTATAGCTCCTCAAGCAGTTTTATCTTTAGAAGCAATTGGAATATTATTGCCATTTGGTATATAGGTATAGGTAAATATATTTGAAGAGTGTCTTTTTTCATTCTTAGTTATTAAACAAATAAGGCTGAGTCTAAGCGTCTACCCATTTCCTAGCTCTGATTCACGGACTTTCTTCTTATACTCTATAGAACCATTAAGTTTCGAGCTTAACGAATCTTCCACATTTAACAAATTGCCAATAAAAATAAGATTGGAAAAACAAAGTTGTCTGTTTCGAAAATTTCAAGAGAAAAGTTTCTAAAACGTGTTCCAGCAATAAATATCAATTAACTGAGATATACCAAAAGCGAGTCACGGGCTACGATCCGAATATCGAAAAGCAGGCTAATTGCAGCTAGCCGGTGGTCTGGACTCGGGAAAAGAGCTCTGAGTGGCGAGCGCAGGCCAGAAGGAAGTCGTAAAATTGATAAGGACAAAGAACGAAAATGCGCTGCAGGAAAAACTAAGCGATTATGGAATGTCACCAAGGTGCCAGGTCACGTTCCAGTCGTGGTCGCCGTCGTGCTGGATGAGTCACACAGGGCCACGGCATGTTGCGGGCACAGCCTCAGCTCTTTGTGCTCTGGTTGAGCTTATCAGCCGCCGTCGCCACCGCCTGCCTGTTGATAACCAGCTACAAATTTGATGACGCAAGCCAACGCATCTTGCCTAATCCAGGGGAATTTCTTGGTAGTTGCTGCCTCTAATTTGTTGCTCACATTGTTTGATGATGTGACGACGTTTGTGTCGCCGGCTCTTTGAACTTGGCCAGCGGCATCTTATCATCGCTCTGCCCTACTCCACTGGCATAGTCTCTGCCTTATCACGTGGCCCAGCCCTGCCCGGTGTGGTCCTTATCTGGGCATGTACCTCACTTGTCACTGGCTGCCTGACTCCTGCCTGCCGCTCCACTTCGGTGTGGCCTCTACTCATATTTGCATTAGACGAGGTTAAACAACCAGTTGGCATGAGTCGTTTGAATGCCATTGTTGTGATTGTTTTGAAATGCAAGCAACAGTTTTGTTTATCACAGCTCGACCCTGACCTACGCTAAGTCTTTGTATGCTTATCTACATAGATGAGACATGTGATAACAATTCGCACTTATCTCTAACCTTTTATGGGCAGTATTTAAAGAAAACTAATTTAGTATGTTGGCATAAGTCTTAAGACTATCTAGAAACTATTTCATAAGAAATATTTATAGCAGTAGTATGGAATAAAATTACAGACTCAGTCTCAAAGCATTAACAACTTGGTCCCCAATCAATGCACTTATCCCACCACTTTTTGTAGATGCCAAATTGGGGTAGAGATCGAATTTAGCCCACAGCTTCTATATAAAAATATCTACATTTTGCAATATTTTCAGTCGAACGGGTAATTTTAAATTAAAAATTGTTATACTCGAAATTCAGAATATCCGACAAATCAAGGCTTGAACCAACACATGAGTTCAAGGATGCGTAAAATGGGTGTTATGAGCGGCACCCAAAGGCAGAGAATAGGTTCGAACCGCAGCACTACTGAGTACATACGTAGGCGTTGTTGTCGAGTTGTTTCGATGTTGGAATTGTAAATATAGCATATATACTTGGAGCTTCGAGAATGAAGGTACTCTTAAGCGTTTGAGCTGACGATGTAGTTGAGTGTTGAAATATTATTATTATTCTTATTATTATTATTCTTATTATTATTATTATTATTATTATTATTATTATTATTATTATTATTATTATTATTATTATTATTATTATTACTATTATTATTATTATCATTATTATTATTTTTAATGTTATTCGTGCTATATAAATTTATTTATCTTAAAAAATAACAATTTATTATTATTATTTTTTTATTTTTACTATTTCCATCAGCTAAGCCAACTCTACATCCATGCTCAAACCCGGATCTAATTATCTTTGCACTGGATCTTATTATCTCTGTAAAATTCTATGCAATTCCGTAACCTGCTGACTTTTTGTTATTTCAAGCATTTACTATGCCATATTACTCTGGCAACATGTTATAAACTGCATTAGAGGCTTTCGAATGAAATGTCGGCAGCAACAGCTTCCATTTTACAGCCAAATCATAAACACGAACCGAGGCTGATTAAAATTTCATTTCGCACTTCCGACTGGGCTGGCTGTGATTGTTCTATTGGGTGTTGGGCAGTGGGCACCCTCTGCTATGATGGTAGCCAGCGGGCCAGACGGCCAGGGTTGCAAATGCCCCAAATGTAGTGCTCGTAAAAACTGCAGCGACAACCGCAGCACGACGTCGGCACTGCAATGCAGCAGCAAAAATGTCAGCGGTGCTTCAAGTTTTATGGCGCTCCTCGCAAATGGCTATGAGAATGTATCTAAGCCGACTGGCCCGGACCTGGGCTTGGGCCTGACTCTGTTATGCTGCCTCTAAATTCGGTTAGGGCTAAAACGTAAAACTGGCTGGGGCATCGCGCGCATGGAAGAAGCTCAGCAAAGGCAGCGCCAACGTCAGCATCGTAAATAAATTTTGCTCGTAATTAATTTTGCATGCAAGTCAGCTAAAGACAGCGAGATGGAGACTGAACCTCCGAGACAGACTATATAGTGCCCGGCACATAATTTGTATATAGTGCGTAGTCGTGGTATCGCCAGTTCTCAGTTCTCGGTTCTCGGTTGTCGGCTGTCAGTTTTGGGAGTTAATAAACGACGCACACGGCAGCTGATTTTGAATGCCGCTTGACGTTTCATGATGGACCCGGGCATCCAATTTTGATATGCCAAATGTGTCGCTAAATGATTCTTTTTATTGGCAGCGGGTTTGCCCACCTGTCTGCCTGGCCCCCTCCCCCAGCGCCGCCTGCTCACCTGCCTGTCTAGGCGTGTGCGGCGTGCGTTGCGCATACGCCCCGTGTGACGACACAGCTTGTGACTGGCATTAGCTTACGACTTGGCTTCGTTTCGGTTTTTGTATGCAAATGGGGCTTCAATCGGACGGTGGTAGGGGCAAGAGTTGCGGTGGGGGCGGGAGCGGGACTGTTGGTGTTGATTGCTTTGGCTGTTTGCATAAGCCTCATGGAAAACTTTTGCTCTGGCAGATCGAGAGCTGCGTACGAGGTTCAAGCTTTGAGTTTGCATTGCATTTGCCAGGCAGCTCATTAGTGTGCTTGTTTGTTGTTCCTGTTGTTGTTGTTACTGTTGTTGTTGCTGCTCTAGCATTATTTGTTTGACATTTTTAACACTTGACGTTGACAGTTCGCCGTGTTTTTGTGCCTTTACGTTAGTCACATTATACGTACTCAAATTTGCCAAACAAGCGTAAATCAGTTTGCTGCATTTACCAAAGTTGTTCTTGTTGCTGTTTTGCATCTGCTGTTAATTTGTGTTGACTTTATGTGTTAGCTTGTTGTCTGCCTGCCCTTGCTATTCCTTTGTTTGTCAATGCTTCAGTTGCAAAAATTGTCTAGCTAAGTCTCGCAGCTGTGCCGTGAGAGCTGATGATGAGCTTCAAATTAGCTGAGATCAGCGGTAGTTGCAAATATTGATTAAGACTTGGGCTTAAGACGTATACATATTAATACTCTTGTCGAGGGTGTTATAATTTTGTCATGAAATATGTATCGCATAACGGAAGATGTTCCCAAACCCATGTCGAAGTCTACAGGATATTTACTTATAATAATGCAGCTGTTGAAATCGGATTGATTGATAAAATGATTGATTGATTTAACAAGACACCGGAAAGATATTTGGATAAGAGCTATGTAAAGATTGAAGTTAGAAGTAAGGTGGGAAATCAGATAAATTTCTTCTCTTCACAGAGAGGCGCCTCCAAACAATAAACCTCTGCGACCTACTAACAAGGCGAATTATTTAAATCCTATTAGTTTATTAGGCTATGCTTACATAGCAAATACCCTAAAGCTACACTATACCCTACTTTCATGGTCTTTGGCTAGGTGGATCACAACAAAACAAATTCAGAGACCAACTTGACAAATTGAGAATTTTAAAAACAAAATCAGTGAGCAGTAAAATCAAGTCTGCTATGACTTTAAATAGGTGTAAAGTGAATAAAAAAAAAAAAAACAAAAAAAAAATTAAAAAAAAATAATAATAATGTTTTCCATACACATAATACACAACATAATTGTTAAGTTTCATATATTCTGACTGCACTCTTAGCGGATGGCATTAAAGTTGAAGTGAATGTTGCATTTGGTTGCCCAGCCCAGGGACAAAAACTATGTACTCCGCGCATAATGTCTACTATGCATATAGGAGGGCTCGAAAAAAGTTTTCGGTGAAAACCTATTTATTGTTGTTCCTATGGCTAATCCTGGCATTGGTGCAGTGGGTGGTGGTCTGTCTAGTGTAAGTGCAATCTAGCGAATGGGGCATTCTACAGCTGACTCGAACTGCCCGATCACAGCGATTCTATAAGGGAAATATTCTGGAAGCACTATTACATCAGCATTGCGGCTTTTCTGATCGCCATTCTGCTCTTCGCACTGTTTCTGTTCTTTGAAAACCTGCGTTTCAATAATGTGGTGGGCTTCATAATGTCGTTTTTCATTGTGAGTATATAGATTCCATTTCCATTTGCAAATAAAATCTCTTTCTTCCATCTAGGTAGAGCTCCAAATCATTGCGACATTCGCGCTGGTCGCCCGCGCCTATTGGGCGGAAATGCTCATGTACTTTTGTATCTGCGCCGTGCTCCTGTTCATATTCGTAGCCATAGGCATTGCCTTGCCCAGGAAGGTGAGTAGCATTCGTCAGCCCTGTTGCTAAGCGAGTTTCCAACAGATCATGTGAGTTCGCTTCAGATGGACCTTACGCTCCATGTGGCTCTGCTATTCATTCTGGCCTTTCTCTTCTTGCTCATCGCCGTCTTCTTCCTTATGCTGCATCTGATAGTGCCCGAGTGCGAGGGCTATGCGTACGTACTCGTCCAGATACCCATCAGCATAACTATGTTGTTTGTAAGTTGCTGGGATTAGTCTGCCATCATCAACAAATGCATTCCAGTTTCCTTCAGTTTGTCATGTATCATGCGCAAACGATTCACGGGCGGCGCTTTGCGGAGATGCGACTGCATGATTATTGCCTTGGATCGCTGATTCTGTTCCATGACTTTCTTATCATATTTTGGCTGACAATATACTGGCAGGTTTGGGGCAGACTGGTCACGCCCTCTGATTGGGGCACGACCGAAGCTAAAACGACCGCTAGTGCCAGGGCTTTAGATCTTGGAGATGACGACTTCGCTGTCGATTACGAGAGTAAGTCAAGCAGATACTCTAAAAACTCCTGGCAGTCTCTCAAATGTACTTCTTCGCTTTTTGTAGCTAAACCGATGTATATGCCGAAGAGATTAAACCAATTTAGACCGACGTCAAATTGCGAAACAACCGATTTGACGATAACCCACGATTTTATGCCGAATGACAATAAACGCCTTACAGCAGTTCCTAAAGACAGCAACTGGGCTAATATATGGGCTGAGTCAAGGCAGAATCCTGCTCAGAATTCTCCAGCAAGTGACGAAGGGATTCTAGATGCTAATATCGAAGAGCCCAGCCCAAGTCCAGCAAATGAAGCCGACGACATGAGTGCAGCAGATAAATCCTCGACAGCTGAATATATTTTCGATGAATGAGGACCATACCAATAAAATGAGGCAGAAAATAAATGAAATGATAAGGAAAAACATTAATTCTCTCAATATATTCCGTGTATCTTCTTTGTTTGGGGGCTAATTCGAATAGTTGCCTTTGCCAGTTTTGCTGCTGTCTAAACAAATGTCATTCGATTCGGTTTTTTTTTTAGGCAGATTAGTCAGAATTAATGTTAGAAATATTATTAATGTCTTGTGTTTGTGAAATTCGCAGTTGATAATTGTCTTTTTTTGCTTGTAGTTTATTTTCACACAAAATTCTGAGTAAATGTTGAGCCCTACGTAGACAGTACGTCTACTGATTCCTGTCCTATAAATGGAGCGACATGAGTGCCACCTACGAGAACTATGTTTATTACAAGAAAGCGCGCCGAAGGTTTTCCCTTAAGACCTATATACTTTTGCTTGTCTGGCAGATTTTAGCCATTGTGCAGTGGGCCGTCGTTTGCCTCATGTGAGTAAAATTACTTTAAATTATTACCTTACTGAATTGTTGTGTATCCTACATGCAGAGATGAAATACGGGACTTCTTCGTTGAGTACTATTATATCTGCTTTGTGGCATTTATTTTGGCAATTCTCCTGTTTGGTATCTTCATATTCGTTGAGAAGCTGCGTTACATCCCGGTATTGAATTTTATAGTCTGCTTAATAATTGTAAGTTTCAATTACCAGACTCTATGGCAAGCAATCTGTAGCCATGAAATACCCTAACTTTCACATGATTTTTTTTCAGGTCGAGCTGCAAATTATAGCGCTGTTTGCCTTAGTCGCTCGCACGTACTGGATGGATCTAATAATATTCTTTGTTATATGTTTTGTGCTTCTTTGGCTGTTCATTCTGATTGGTTCGGTACTTCCGAGGAAGGTGGGTACTTGTATTTGTTTATATATATTATCGCAGATCTTGCTGTATTTAATACGTGTAAATATCCTTTAGCTTGACCTGACCTTAGATGTGGCCATATTATTCATTGTCGGCTTTCTGTTCCTAGCTATTGCCATATTTTTTTTGATGTTTCGATTCTTGGTACCCCAAGTGCAGATACATTCATACATAGTCTTCGAAGTCGCAGTGACCATAATTATTCTGTTCGTAAGTTTCCATTTATTTCTAGATGATCGGAGCCCGGCTAATTCCAGACATTTTCTCAGTTTGTCATGTACCATGCGCAAACCATCAACGGCGGTCGATTCGCCGAGATGCGTCTGAACGACGCCTTACTGGGATCGCTAATTCTTTTCCACGACTTCCTTATTATTTATTGGTTAACTTTCTACTGGCAAATCCTAGAGAGGCCTTTCTCGCCCGACAATTGGGAATATCTTTCCACAGTGACCGATACGACCTCAACGGCCAGGACTACTCCTAAAGACGATAAAGATAAAGGGGATGCTAACAAAGTACAAGACGAGATTCATATAGACGAGGAGCAAGATGATAACGAAGATGAAGTCGAAGATAAGGACGGAGACGGCGGCCAAGGGGATGATAAAGAAGAAGACGTTGAGAAAGTAAAAAGCCGAGCCCAAGATCGTGGTCAAGAGCAAGAGGAGGACGCAGAAGAGGACGAAGGGACGAATGCAAAAAGAAGAAAAAAACCAAGTTTCAACACAGGTGGGGACGATGATAGGGGCACTGGTTCCAAGAGAGGCTCTAAAAAAGAGTCCAGGAGAAGGTTGTATTCGCCTAAAAACCCCAAGCTACACGCACAAGGAAACCAGGATGCGGGCTCTGCTGCCGACGCGAGCAGCGGCCATGTTGCTGGTGTAGTTAGTGGAGACAAGGCAGATGGGGCTGCTGGTGGCGTGGTCATGAACGAACCTAAAAGCGCCAGAATTAATGCTGTGGGAGACAAATCAGCTGTCGATGACACCAAATCCTCCAGTGTGACCACGGTAGAAGGCGCAGAGCCAGGTGCAGCGGCAGATGAAGATGGAGCACTGTCCGTTGGAGCCTCTGCCGAAGAGCCCAAAACAAATGATGAAGCAGGTGAAGATGCTGAAAGATTGAATGTAGATTTTGCAAGCGGCGCAGTTGAAGACGGGCAACACGCAGGAGCTGCTTACGATGCTGGTCGCGCAGGCGCAGACGCTGATGGGGGTGAAGTGGACGGTGAAGCCGGAGAAGACAATTCAGTTGGTAAGGATTCTGTTGATCCGCTGGGAAGAGACCAGTACTCAGGGAATATTAATGCTGGAGATGATCCCGGTGGTGCCGCCGGTGGTGACGTTGGAGGTGACGTTGGAAGTGTCGCTGCTGGTGACGATGGAGGTGACGTTAGAGAAGTCGGTGGAGCCGCCTATGGTGCCACCGATGGTGCCGCCGGGGGTAATGCAGATGGTGACGTTGGAGGTGACGCTGGAAGTGTCGTTGGTGGTGATGTTGGAGGTGACGTTGGAGAAGACGTTGGAAATGTCGGTGGTGACGTTAGAGGTGTCGTTGGAGGAGACTTTGGAGGTGTCAGTGGTGCCACCGGTGGTGCCACCGATGCTGCTACCAATGCTGCCGCCGGAGGTAACACCGGTGGTGACTTTGCAGGTGATGCTGGAAGAGTCGCTGGTGATGTTGGAGGTGACGTCGGAGGAGACGTTGGAAATGTCGTTGGTGGTGAGGTTGGAGGAGACGTTAGAGATGTCAGTGGTGCCACCGATGCTGCCGCCGGAGGTAATACCGGTGGTGACTTTGGAAATGACGTTGGAGGTGCCGTTGAAAGTGCCGTTAGTGGTGATGTTCGAGGAGACGTTAGAGACGTCAGTGGTGCCACCGGTGGGGCCACCGATGCTGCCGCCGGGGGTAACACCGGTGTTGACGTTGGAAGTGACGTTGAAGGTGATGCTGGTGGTAACGCGGTTGTTGGCGGAGGCCCAGTTGTTGGTGCTGCGGACCCCGTAGATGGCGCTGGCTCAGGCGCAAGGGAAATTGAGGGCACAGGTGGTCATGGTGGTGGAGTTATTGAAGGTGACTCTGGCGCAAATGCAGTAGCAGGAGCAGGAGTCAATCCAGACATATATTTAGGGCCAGAAGAAACCGGCAGTGCAGGCGCAGATGGAGACACTGGGAGCTACGTAAATAACGCTGCTGGTGCAGATACGAACGAGCCTGCCAATGGTCATGTAGATGGCCCTGATGGAAACCCTCAGTACACTGGTAAAGAGGCAGATGGAGTGGGCGATGAAGGTGTCAATGCTGATGGCGCAGCTGGAGGCGTAGGTGGCTCTGAAGGAGACTACGACGGAAGAGCCGAGCGAAGAGGAAAGCGTAAGATCTGGAGAAGGAGGTGAAGCAGTTGGAGGTCAGATGGAAGCTGCCACAGGCTCGATTTGAAAGTGCAAATGTTTTGGATGGCAATGTGAATATCTCGACTATAAGAGCTTAAGATCCTGATAACGTTAAATAATATCTAATTCTACTTGAGGGCAACGAATTTACCCTTCAAGCATACACTGTACATACGGAAAGCCAATAAACAGATATTTGTGATTGTCAGTTTACACATACAACATATCAATATTAATAACTAATAATATTTACGCTTACAATGTAGTTGTCTTTCTACTAACAGGTGACTAAAAAATGACTAAACCAACGATTTATCACTCAAAAGTCAAATCACAACAACACCTGTTCAATGAACTCCACCTGTGAAAAAGACAAAAGAAAACCGTTCGACCAATTACGACCAGAGCACGTGCAGACCCCATAAAAACGTACGAGTACAGCAGATAAATATATTACCCGTAACACATACTTTAGCGTACCTATCCAGACCCACATCTTGGCGAACCTTAACAGTTCGAGCATACTTTAAACGAGAGAGGTATGAGTATTATGTCCGTTCTGGATGAGACCCATTCGAATTTGTACTCAACCTATTTAAAATTTATTTTTATAAAAGAAATTATAAATAGTGAAATTTAAGAAAAATTCAATTAAATTAGGAAAGTGTAAACAAAATTCGTATTCAATATGTTTCCCTTATCAAATACAAGTTTGCATCCAATAGTAAAACATCGTAAGGGTATTTCAATTAGTTAAGTGGCATTCATTGATTTTAGCAGTTGTTAAAGCTTAAAGAGTATCTGATTGTCGGCTACTAACAACTTGTTTGCCTGCTGTGATATTTTTGTTGTGCATTACAGCAAATCATGGCAAGAACGCAAAACACGACCGCGACACAAACCCAACGCTGACTGCAACTGCAAATGCTGCTGGTGTTGATGTCAGTGCCAGGTTCCAGACCCACTCACCACGCCCCGTTCCCCACGTCCCACGCCCCTTTGGCCAGTTTAGCTGGTAGTCACTCATGACTGTGACCTGAACCAGATACACGATGCACGATAATATAATTTATGGCCCTGTTTTGGTGTTTGTTGCTCCGCTGCGTTATGGTATGTTTGATGTGGCGTGTTACGACGTCCATCCGTCTGTCAGTCACTCAGTCCATCCGTCCATCCGTCCATCAGTCGGGCAGTCGGGCGGTCGGTCTGTCCCATGTCGACTCATCAACAAATCGTACATTTGAATACAAATTGCAGCATTAGCAGCTGAGGCGCAGAAGCTTCAACAAAAGTGTCAAATTTGACATGAAATTATTTATGCTAACAACAACACATGAACTTCACCTGGTTATGCAGGTAAATTGAGTTTCCCCCGAGTCAGCCAAATAACAGTTAAGAGAGTTTATTTTGATTTTCATACTTGTTATATTTCTTTACCATATTTGACAATATTTAATTATTTATTTAGTTAATTCATGAAGTTCTTTTAGCTATAGATTTTTAGCTTCAGTGTATATGTTTATGTAATTAGTTTCTGTAATTCAATTATTTTTCTTTTCTAGTTTTAGTAACTGCAACATTTTATGAACTAACTGTGCTTGATCAAGAGGTGCCACTGTAAATGAAACCAATTTTCAACAATTTGATTGCTTTCATAAAATCAATAAATAAATAAAGAAATATTTATACACATGCAGCCAGTTGCAAAACTCTTTGAGAATTGCAAGCATATAAATCATAATGTTGCCTGCTTGGGCGCAGCTTGTTGATTTTCCGGCATTAAATTATGCAAACAAGCTTATCCCAGGCGCACATCATGATTATCTTGGCCAGTTATTGTTTTTTTCGGGTTAGATTAACTGGCTGTTAGTATATGCTTTGGGCCACAAACGTGTTGTTGCTCTAAGCCAATCTCTGCCGCTTGGGCCAACATCACGTACGCAATTTTGAGGCGAACAAACAAAACTCAAATATTTCAGTTGCTGTAGGGCAGACTTGAAAAAGGATTTGGCAGCTGGTGCATTGCATGTTTAGTTGCCAGGATTTAATATCTTAGGCAAACAATGATCAAAAGTAAGAAATAAATAAAATAAAAGTGTTGTATTTAAATATTGATTGCTTGAATCGTTTTTTCTAGCATAATTTTTAATATTTTTATATATATATTTTGTTTTTTCGATATTTTTCATTAACATTTAGGCTTAATCGATAGGCAATTTGTTTAAATTACTTTATTTAGATACAATAAATAATACTCAGTCTTGCATAATACACGATATAACAAATAACTAAAACGAAATTAAATCATTTACACGTATAGGAGCTGTAGTTGGTGAATGTGTGTGTGTGTGTGTGTGTGTGTGAGTGTGTGTGAGTGTGTGTGTTTATAGGTGCCTACTTAGATTCATCCAACTTGATGGGGGCAGCTGATGCAGCTATTTACAAGTGACTAAGCATGTAAGCATGATCCCTAACCCCAATCCAAAATCAGGCCCAATTCTCTATCCCCAGCCCCATCGCCATCCCCAGCCCTAATCCCTGTCCCCTTACCCTTTCCCTGGCCCTTGTCCCAACCCCACTTTAGTTGCTGGCCAATCACGCGGCAACAACAACAACCAATGAGGCGCAATCATCATCAACAGCTGCCGCCGGCAGCAAAGTTTCTGCCGCAGCTGTCGACGCTGCACTGGACGCCCCATTTCGATGCACCAGCTCATTCCGCTGCTCCAGCTCATCCGGCATGTTAATGCAAATGGCTGGCGAGGCTTTGTCCTCCAGTGTCTGTGTCTGTATCTGTGTCTGTGCCTGCGTCTGTGTCTGCGTCTGCTCGTCTGTTGCTGACAGTTTGCACTTTTGCAGCTTATTCAAACTGCACTGCTGCACTGCGTCCTTTTCCCAGCTGCTAATGCACGCACGCTGATTATTGTGACTGTGACTGTGATGATGATGATGATGGTGCACAGCCGCCAGGCTGGGATACACAAACTTCATGCCGTAGGCAAAATGACGCGGCTGATGATGCAGCGCCTCATCGTAGCTGGGCAGCCCGGTGGCAATTGTGTAACAGGGCGGCGATTCAATTTGATAGAAGGCCGCCTCATTGCCCCCGGCCGTTGCACTGCCGGCAGCGCTGGCGACGCCGCTGCCAGCGGCAGGCTGCTGCAGGAAACGGCAGCTGATCAGGTGATGACTGGCGCCATGCGAGGAGTAGGAGTCGTCGGCGGCATGAATCTGTGCGCGTATGTCCTTGTCTGCAAATACGAAAACGGGTACAAAAGTTGTTTAGTTCCAGTTGCAACAGCAAGCAGCAAAGTTTTTGTGTTTTTCCATTCTTGGTCGGCCCTCCAACTTTGACTTTGATTTTGACAGACGTCTCATTAGTTTGTTTGTCGAATCCCACACACACACACACACACACACACGAAAGACACTTGTTGGATTGGATTGGAGGCGAGCGAAGAGAGAAAGGACTTTGGCATTAAATTCAATTTAGCGTAAAGGCGCAAACGGTTGAACTTTGTCAATGGCAGGACATGAGCAGGAACCTCTGCATCTTTTATTGAAAAGACAGAAACAAAAAAAGACGCAAAAAACACAACAGAGAATAACTGCGGGTACAGGAGGAGAGAGAAAGTTTTTGTGCCGACCGGAAATGCCTGTGAGCTTGGCCGGACAGCCAAAGTTGGCCATACACAACAACCCGCCGTCTGGCTGGCTGACAGACAACAACAACAACAACAGCAACAACAACAACAACAAGTAGGCAATAACACGCCGGAAGTGCGCGCGTGGCACAAATGAAACGAACGAAGCGAAAAAAAGGAGAGAGAACGAAATAAATATTGAAGAAGTTGCAGCAATGCAGAGAGAGAAAAAAAGCCGCCCCGAGAAGTATGCAACGGCAAATGTTAAATTTGTAACATGCCACAAGCCGCAAAATGTTTATGCTTGAAATTAAACAAAATCGACTTTAGTTAAGACTGTAATAACAGCAGAGAATTATCCGTTAATATCCGAATTTATGCAGAAATTATTCGAATATAATACGAAGCTCGTTTACAGTACTTTGGCAAGGACTTGCCAGAGAGAAAACAGCAGCTTATTGAAAAAATATTCTATGGAAATTGTAAGCTTATAGTTCTTTTGGCTTTTGTTGTTTGCCGTGCCGCAAATTGTTGCGGTGATTAAATGCAATTTAAGCTGCATTTATTAAATGAAAGCCACCTTGTGCTTTATGCAATTGAAAGTCTGGACAACTTTTTAATTGTCAGCGCAAACGTTTTATATTTTCACTTTTGTTTTGTGCTCAATTTTAATTAATTTATTTGTATTATTTGATTTTTGTTGTTTTTTGTTTGTGCTTTTACAAATATTTCGGCCAAATGGCATACCATTAAAGCGACTGGCCGCCTCTTTGGGCGGAGGCGTGGCACATGTTGTGAGCGAAAAAAAATGTGCACATTACAATATTAAAACAGAGCAGCAGCAGTCACACGGCCAGTACTCGTACACATACTGGCAGCAGTCACTGTACTGCTGTTGCTGGCAGCGGTTGTTGATTTATTGTTATAACTGTAGCGCAAGCTCGTATATTTTTGGGTGCTGTCTGGTCGAGGACTTTCACAGAGTCCCCATTTGACTTTTGTTTCATTTTTTGATAGACAGACGGCAAACACGGCCAACAGGGGCAGCAACAATGCGGCCGCAGTGGGCGTGGCACACACACACGCACACGCACTCATATTTTATGCAAGTGTTCGAAAAAAAGACCAAAAGCTGAGTGTGTCCCATGGCCAGGCAAGGCGTTGGGGATTGGGCGGCGCAGCTGTAACGCAGTTGGCTGGGTTAACAAAAAAAATTAGCACGCCATTTGTTTTTGGCTTTTGTTACATCGGTGGCAGTTGGCAGCTCCTTTTTGCCGTTGCGCCCGAATGTATGCAACAATTTAAATTCATTGCAATGAGCTGACGAATGCTGAAGGACCAACAATTGAGCTCGACTCGCTGAGCGCTTTTTTTTTGTTTATTTATTTATTTGCACAGCCGCGCACATTCTATATATGGATTGTTGTTTTTCATAAATGTCTGTTAATTTTTTTAACACGCTCGCTGGTTTGGTGGCGGGTTGGGGGGAGGGGGGCCGCAGTTTTATTACATTTAATCGGTTTTGCAGGTGATACCAATGAAAGCTGAGCGTTGAGTGAGGCTCAAATTAAAATTTGCGGCTATAGTGCTTTAT